AGCATTTCATCATTTCGTTTTATCCAAATTATTTTTATTTATCAATGATACACGTAATAAGAATTAATGTGTCATTTTCACTTCTAATTGCACGACTTAGTATGGTGATTCAGGAACCTTAAGATACATCAACGCAATAAAAGCTAGAAGTAATAAATAGACAATGTTTTTTGTAGACTAGATTATAGCTCTTTAGATAAATAAAACAAAGTTCAACCCTTTCATCCGTTTATCAACATGTGAACGCGGTACGCTCGCATTGAAACCGTTTCAAATCTCTGGCATTCGCTGACCCTCGAAGCTAAACCACCGAATCCTCATCTGCTTTCCTGGAAGAACGTTGCCAAAGTGAAGGCAAACTCAATAGTTTACTTTCGACAGTGGTTTACTTTCGACAGTCAGCGAATAACAGAGAATGCAAACCGAGTGTAGACATCGCGCTTAACGCGTTGATTAATGGGTGTTTAATTACTAAAGTATTTCATCTCAAGTATTAAATTCTCTACAAAATCTTGCCTGAGGAAAAACGAACGTAAAATTCGTTACAGAATTTATAACAAAATCAAGATTCCTAAAAGTCTTGGAATACCTTCTTACATCGATTAGTTTTGGCGATGCGTTTGCACGCCTTACTTCATCACTCCGAACGAGGATCGTGTTTCGCGTTTGAGATAGAGAACTCGGTCAGTAGTTGGCTGTTACGATCGAATGTCATGACTATTTTTCCGGCCATGATATACGGAACGACCTCGATATTCCAGACGGCGCCAGATCGGAAGAACAGGCTTTTCATATAACGGGGAAATCGAGAAGTTCAATTAAATGCTGGTCCGAGCGCTAAACTCTTCGAGATAACGAGAAACAAGAATTTGACAAAAAAGCATAAAGGAGTATATAATAAAATTGGAAACATCAAACATGTGATAATTAAAGACGAGAAAATCAGACGCATAAAAAAAATTAATAAAATATATATAGATTTGCTACTGTACAGTTAACTTTCATTTGCAATCTAATTGTGTCTCTTTGTTCAATCCAAGTTTCTTTATTGTTCTAAGTTTTCAAAAAATTCAGGATAACTTATTTCTGTCCTTAATTTTACATGAATCTTCTTTTTTAAAACAAG